TAAAAAAAAAAAAAATAAAAATAAAAATAAAAAAAAATAGAGTAACAACAACAAAAACAACTTGAAAGTCTACATATTTATCAGTTTCTATTTTCAGGTGACCCCAGCAGCTGGCATGATCAGCCCCGATCAAGTTGCCGATATATCCATACATCAGCAGGACTACCACTCGCCGGACGAATTCGTTGAGGGCATCCCACAAAGCTGGTGGTCTGAAGACATGAGAGACAAGGAAGTGATTTTGTTGGTGAACGTGAGAGGAAGCTGCTCAACCGAGACCAAGAGTCACAGAGTACACGTCCGCCACAAGTACTCGGGTAACCAATGCATCATCGAGCCGTCGAAAGGTGATATTTCTGGAGGAGGTTCCTCCAGAAAACACCGAGCAGGTTCCTACAGAGGTGGACGCTGACTGTAGAATAAATTTCTTTATATTCATATTCTTTCGTTGGAGGTAGTCTCGACGCCCGTCCATCATTACAGTATACCATCTTTGTGTAAATTTTCCGGTGGACTGCATTATTTTTGGTACATAAAAATCTCATTTTCTTTTCCACATTTCTGGCATTTTTCAGTGTTTCTTTCTGATCGCGCGTCGCAACGCGGCAAATTATAATTTATTTTTCTTTAACCAACCTCTACTAACTAGTAGTAACAGTGAGTAATGGTCGATCCAGTGAATTTTCTCATATTAATTAAAACAATAAAAGCAATAAAATAGGGGGGATTTTGATTTAATAACTAAACTATATAAAATCCTAACAATGAAAATAAAATCTAAACAATAAAAAAAAAAAAAATAAAATAAAATAAGAGAAGTTTCTAGTTCACGGTTCCGTCTACACCTTCGACTACGTCTTCTAATCAACTTTGGTATCAAATCTCGTTATCTTATGAAATTACAAGCCCTAGGCAACGACACAGTCTGTTACTCGAATTTTTCCTTATTTTTAATCTAGGTGATCAATCTAAATAAAACTCAACACAACATGGTTAATTATTCAAAATAAAACAAACAATTCCAAAAAGATATTTAAATTATCAACCACGTCAATTAATCAAAACATCGTCAATCTTAGGATTCGACTTCCCCGAAACTTAGAAATAAAAACTAATATAACACAATAAATTAATTAAAAAAGAAAAAGAGAAGAATAACGTTATCCTTCTCTTCTCGTGTGCGGGTGTTTTATAACTTAGGCCTGCGTGGTTGCGGGGTTTTTTCTTCCCTAGTGGCTTGTGTGAGTTTTATAACTTAGGCTTAATTCTTTTAATTTTGTTTCAAAATACACAAGGATCTGGCCCACTTATTCCACCAACTTGCCATGTAAAACCCTAAGCCTTTATTTAATTATTCATCATTGGGCCTGAAAATTAGGTAGTTGTTGGGTCGAGTATGGGGTGCTGTTAGGTCAGTACGGGACAGTACGGGACACCCCCAGTATGTTGGAAAAATTTCTTCATCCTTCTTCGTGCATCCACACATCTTCGTGCAATCAAAAATAATCCCAAAAATGCTAAAAATAGATAATAAAATCACAAAGTACACGACTTTTGGATAATAAAATATCCAAATAATAAGTTAGTCGAAAAATATAGATATGCGAACAAATTAAGTGTATAAGAATACACTATTAAATGTATAAAACGTGCACATTTTTCGACTTATCACCTTCCTTCTCCCTTTATCTCGAGTCTCATCATCACTACAGACAACACCAATTACAATCTTTTACCTATCAAGACCTTCCTCCCAGTCTATGTGATGGCTCCTGATCCAGACTTCTCAATATCCTCTTACCCTGATACTCACACACACACACACACAGTCACACACACATATAGATATATTAATAAATATCAACACAACTATTTCAATACAGAGGATCCCTTCCCTACTCCACTCGATCAAGTCCGTTAGGGTACCTAACGGTCGTAAATCGTAATCCAAGAAAGATGCCGGCATACGAGAGATCAACCCCCTTCAGACAGCATACATCTTCTTATACCTCTCGCTATACATCTCGCTCTCCGACAAATTCGACAGCGAAAACGAGCGAGAAAGCGTGGACCCCCTCCTCACGCTCCTCATCCTCGAGTCCTCCAGCCTGTGCCTCACCACACAGTAGCACATGGACCCGATCGTGGCCGTCATGATTGTGCCACCCACCACAGTCGCGTACACGGCCAGCCACCGCTCGTGGGACCCGACCACAATGTACGCCAGCGCGATGAAAGCAATCGATATGAAAAGGCACGCGAGCCACATAAGCTTGTTGATGACCGACATGAGCTGCTTCTTGGCCTTGTGCTCGATCACGACCAGCGAAGTCTGCACGACCACCACAGCCAAAGATATGAAAAGCGCGATGCTGTCGAACACGAAGAAGATCAAAAAGGCCGGGTCGTGGGCCACATGGGCCTCTCCCATGTTGGGACCGCTGTCATCGACGTACTGGCCCGGGACCGTGAAGATGGCGGCGAAGGCCACGGTGGCGATGAGGACTGCCACGACCGTGGCTGAGTTGATGGCGTTGTTGAGGCCCTCGATGTGGAGTTTCTTGACCCTTTTAGCGATTTTTCGGACCTTGAAGCCCGTTCGGCGGGTCTGGTGGAGCTGGGACTGGACGTCGTGCTTGATATCACTCACGGTCTGTTTGAGGTGCTTGGAAGAGGTTCGGGGCTTGCCGTGGTCTGCCGAGTGGGCAGCACCGGCAGCTCGGAGGGCGGCGGTTAGTTCGGGGTTGCCGAGGTTTTCGGCAATGTCGAGGGGTGTCTCGCCGGCAGAGTTGGTCGGGTTGAGGTTGATGCCCTCCGTGGATATCAGGCATTGCACCATCTGATAAATGCAAAAGAAACATACGACGACCTTTCTTTAGTTCATTTTTTTTTTTTTTCTTTTTAACTTACTGCAATAACTAATAAGTTCAACCTCAGAGGGAGGCTTTTTAATTCACTGTCATTTTATCGTAAATATATAATCCTCTACAAAGAAACTCCCATAGGCAGTTACTTCAAAATTAGTGTTTTCCAAAAAGGCTAATATAAACCCTTGTGGGGTAAATTTTGTAAATTTTCATGAATTTTGCCTACTCTCTCCAATAACTCGACATTGCCCACACAAACATTGATGCACACCTCTAAAGTCCCATTCTTGCAGTACTTTAGCTACTCTCTGCAAACAAACATCATCATACCAAAAGGAAAATGAAAAGCAAAAGTTTCGAGTGTCACGACCAACCTGAATCCGACCCTTCCTGGTTGCAATATGCAGTGCTGTATTCCCTTTGTTGTCCTCTACCCCGAGCAGGGAAGGGTCAGGCCTCACGAGCTCCCGCACTATGTCAATATTCTGCCCCTTCACAGCCATGTGCAATGCGGTCTGGCCTTTCCTGTCAGTCTTGAACCCGATGCTCGGGTCTTTACTCAACAGAGATTTAACCACCTCCAGGTGGCCCATCCTGGCTGCCGTGTGGAGCACGCTCTTGCCATTGTTGCGGGTGATCTTGGCAAGGTTAGAGTCTGTGTCCAGAAGAAGGTTCACGACCTCCGTGTGCCCCTGGGCAGCTGCCGTGTGTAGAGCAGTCGAATTTGTGGTGTCGGTTGTCATCACAAGGCTCGGGAAAGAACGCCTCAGCTCCTTTAGGACATCTGCAGTGTTTTGCAACCCGAATCTATCATATGTTGAAGTCATGCAGTTATGCGTAATCTATCACCTATATTTGCAGCAACTGGCTCGAAATAATACCCCAACTTTTCTAGTTCAGCTATATATAGCTCACGAAACAACTTTGAAAATGAATTAATATGAGTTGAAGTGGAGACACTGAATGATACTTGGAAAAATTTCCAAACTTCTTAATTCATTTAAGCTCCCTTTCCTTTCAGTGCTGTGAGCCAAACATGGCATGTCAAACGAGATGTAAAACCTCCAAATGTAAAGGAGCATGAACCAATATCAAGAACGCACTAAGAAAAGATATGTCGATGAAGTTGATATGTAAGGGAAAACGTGTGCTATAGGAGTCATCTAAATGCTAAAAATGTGGTTAACAAAACATATAACATCTCAAAATCCCATTATAGTTCAGAAACCTGCAATGTCTGAAGATCCACAAGCAAACAGACATTCGAATCTCAGGCTCAAAACTAAAGCTAACATTTCATCCAGTTCAAAACATGCAAAAAAATAACCCAACAGCATCATATTCACAAGACAGCACAAATATAACAGCAAGCAACATTTAAAATAATATGATATAAAACAACTCATATACAACAAGTGGAGGACGAAAAGAAGATAGAATCAATTACTGAACAATGAGAATCACTACCAACACAAAATGATGATACATTCATGCAAAACAAAAGAAAGAAGAGATTTACCAAGATGCCCCTGCTTGGCAGCCACATGGAACGGGTCGAGCCCGTTATTCGCCGGAATAGACGAAGCCTCAGCATCCGAGTGCTTCAGTAACTCCTCCACCACCAGCTTATGCCCATTCTCAGCCGCCACATACAGTGGGGTCTCCCCTTCCTGGTTCTGCTTCGTCAACAAGTCCCTCACACCACCATTATTGGCACTATCAAACTTGTGAATGATTTCTTTCACCTTCCCCAGATTACCCGCCCGAGCAGCCAGGTGGAGTGGGGTGTCCCCACGTTTTCCCGGGGAGTCTTTCCCCCTCTTACGGTCCCCACCGAAGCTCAGCTGCCTCTCCATTGCTATTCGGAAGCTCTTCTGCTTCTCCATTAATCCCCTGAAGCTCTTCTGCTTCTCCATTGGCGCACCCCGGAAGCTCTGCTGCTTCTCGATCGATGTGTTCCGAAAACTGCTTTGCTTCTCCATGTTCACGCAGATGTGCGTGTGGTGTGCGAGTTTGTTTTGCAGATAATCTTGATAGATAAGCCCACACCCCCAGGTTACTTCTCCAAAAATTTCAGTGTCTACAGATTTTTCATCATCATCATGTCCTGAAACCGTATGGATACAGGATAGTGGGATACTACTCCTTAACAAGAACTGTGCCTCAAAATCGACTTTCAGATTGAGCAGAAAATATAATCCAAAAAACCAGAAATTACGACGGCGGCCTCAAAATCTCTGAAAGATTTCACAGACTATGGAAACTCCGACTAAAGGAAGCTCAGTACATCGAAAACCCCCTAAACCCTTGCTAAAAAACACCACCTTTAAACAGAATCTCTTAGAAAAAAGGCAGAGTTTGGACCTGGAGACTGCAACTCAAAACCCCCCATCAAAAAAAGAATGATTTTTTCACCAAGATATTAGTTCAACTATCATATCCTTCAACAGTAAGAGAGCTGCAAGACAAAGGGAATGAGAAGAGCTTGCGTCTTTCAAGATCAATCCACAGCTAAAGACAGAAAAATTTTAACTATATAATGAAACCCCAAAAGAAAAAGAAAAACAATTCATATCAGCAACTCAAGAAAAGCAGCAAATCACATGGCACATACAATACAATAATCCCAACTTTGTTCAAGAACCTATCTTTTTTTTTTTTTTATCTTTCTTTTGTTTTTGGGGTAATAATGGAGTTTAAGTGATATGTATCCGGGTTTCGTGTTTTGTTTGATTCAGATAACCCATTATGGGTATTGTAACAAACAATGATATTTTTCTTTAATGAAGGAATGAATAAAGAAAGTGTAGATGGGGTGGTGCAAATTGGGGCCGCCATTGATGTTAACATCGGAAGAGCACAAAACAAAACGGACTGCCACAAGGGGTGGGGCTGCTTGGCACAATGCAACAAGGTGAAGTGGGGTCCGCCATGGTTGAACAAATAACGTTAGATTCCTTCACAATTATTTACTCTTGTATATTTGTTTTTTTTACTAGTACAATACACACGATGGACAACAATATTAAATGAGTCATTTTCATGTGCTTTATCCGTATAGGCTTAAAAAAAAGAATCATCAATTTTTCACATTTTTTTTTGCAATATAATTGATGATTCATATATTTTTCACATTTTTTACGGTTATTAATATATTTATCGTGTAAAAAAATAATAAGTGTTTTTTTAGCAAAATGTTAAAACTGAGCATGTTAGCGCTAACCTGTAAAATAATAATATATTATCACTTTTATGCTGATACAAAATTGATTTTAGTTTATATATTGATTCCTTGACAAAAATAAAAAATAATATTTTATTTATTTTTGTTCACCATATAATATTTATTTATTATTTTATTATAAAATTTGTTGTCATATAATGTCATTAATTATTTATAAGAGTTATAGAAATCATTTTATTCTTCTTTTTATTTTATGTAATAAAGCATATTTAATAAACACTAATATTATTTATTAACGTAATTAAATAAAAATATATAAATAATTTTAAAATGAAATATTATGTATATACATTTTGCAAAATATTGATTTTACATATTTTTCTAAATAAGAAAATAATAATGGTCAAGTCAAATTAAGTGTCGATCGAATTTGACCGGATTCTTTATTGGATTTGTTGTACAACCAGAATTAATTCCAAAAAAATGTTGATTGAGTTATGTTTGAGTGAGATTTTAAGTTTGTATTAAAATAATAACTAAAATATAATGATTAAAATTGATTTGATGTAAAAGTAGGAAATAAGTGATTGAAAGTGATGGATAATTAAATTTATACGAGTGTATAATGAATTAAAGTTAATGTGATATATGAATATAATTAATTAATATTATTTAATTATATTAATATTATTGAATAATATTGAGTTGAGTTATATTTGAAACAAAGTATGTGGTGAAAACCTGATCCAAATAACCTACTTGCACTAGTAGTGATTTCGGGCAGGGTCTTGGGTCGAACCTGCAAGAAATATCTAATTACAAAACTATTCTATCGGGGTTTGTAACCGTTAGATCAACTATCCTCGATGGTTACATAAGATCTAACGGTTATAAACCGACGTAATGATTCAGGACTATATCGTTTTCCTATATGATATGCTTAGTTTAACGTGTGAACATGAATTTTATTGTTTTTAACTAAATATTTTAGTTTTTTTAGTATTAATTAAATTATTATATATGTACTCTTATAATGAAACCTTTCTTAGGTTGGATTGTTGCATAAGCATTAGATGCACATTAATTTTGTTTAAATATACCTAATTTTGTAATGACCTCAATATATTTTGAAGTATAATATTTATCTTCTAAGTATCACACTTTGATTGCTTGAGTATATAATATAATTATAGCAATATTAGCGTTTGCATTTTATTATCGGTACACCTAAAGATTGAAACAAACTTAGGTATAAAATTAATTTCATGTTTCATGCTATTTTACACGTTTACTACAATTTTTGAAAATATTTTCAGGTATACTTTTATTTATGTTTTTCTATAGTACAATATTTTAATATAGAAGTACACATAATTATTAAAAATATATGGCGGACTAACATTTAGACTTGCCTAAAAGTAGTCGTACTGATTTTTTTGTTAAATATAATATTATTCCATTATCAAAGAAAACAATATTTTTAAAATATATAACTAATGATTGGCTCTTTAATTTTCTTAATCGTAAAACGATTTAGTAATTTATAAATATAGTATTTAGTTGGATTATTATATTTTTTATTGTTGACTTTTTACTTTTTTTTTTGGGTGTAATCACATACTTTTAAATTTGTTTATTTAATTATTTATTGAAAAAAGTTCATTTTAATAAGCTCTCATCAACAAAAATATCTTGCAATGTGGTGCAAAAGTTCAACTTTGAATCAATTTTTTAACCAAAAATAAAAATAAAAATTATTATTTTCATAATTTGACTTAAATTATAAATACATGAAATCTCATTTTTTTGTTTTTTTTTCTACAGTTTGAGGTGATACGGATTCTATGTTTTAAAAACTTGATGGTACACGAATCTATATTTATATTTATAGTAAATACATTTTTATATAAATGAATGTTTCGACTTAAACAACATGATCATTATTTAATATTTAAGATCGAACCCCCCTGAGTAAATTTTCTAAATCCGTCACTGAATATATTTGTCATACTTTTTTATTTATCTTAACATACATTTTTCAATTACAATATAAAATATAAAAAAATATATGTGTTTTTGTAATTATTAGATACTTTATTATTATTATTATTATTATTATTATTATTATTATTATTATTATTATTATTATTATTATTATTATTATTTTCTTTATTACCGTTGAGTTATATCTATTTGTAATTATTAGCTACTTAACAACATTCTTATATATTAAACTTTTAGCTTGGTGATCCATCTCCCAATGTTGAGATTCCCTCTCTCAAATTTTTTATCCCTCTTTTAAAGATTTTCTCTCACAGAGTCTACACAAAATAATTTTCTCCTAATGTTTTCAACTGCAATTTCAAAAACATTAAGAATAAGTTAAAAGTAGAATCTACACTAGATGCTTAATTATTTCTTGAGCCTATGGATTAAAATATTGTCCCAATTCGTGCATTTTTTGGATTTAGATAAGTGATTAGCGTATCTTAAGATGGTAGTGGCTTTGTTTGGCGATAAGTGGATAGCGAATAGCGGATAGTATATTATATTAGTTGATTTGACCAACAGATTGCATTAATTGTTTTTAAATAAGTGTTTGGTAAATAACTGAAGTTTATAGATGTTTGACATTGCAAAATGACCAATAAGGACATTTTATTATTTAGGGTGTATTCTTTTAATAATAATATATCAAAACATTTAATATTTTTAGTTGGTAATTTATAAATATATTATTTTTTTTTAAAAAAAATTACTAACACTTGATGAAAAAGTTATGAATTTAACATTTTTCTAGATAAATTAATTATATGGATGACATATTATTATTTATAAGCACCATAAACCAATGTAGATTGTAAA